AACCCCCCCAATAATCATGTTTCCCTTGTAATGGCTGGAGACCTCGACCCCCCCAATGTCCTGAGGATGGCTGCCTGGAATGTTATTAGCGCACTGTGTATGTCAACGAGCAGCAACATTAGCGCCGTAGAGTAAAGCCCTCCAACGTTATCCAAACAGACCGTACCTCGGTAAGGCCACCTACTCCGAGGTAGAAGCAGATGATGAACACGTTCCAGACGATCCACACAGCAGCCCAGATGGAGTACTGGATGGAGAGAGAAGGAGAAAAACAGAAACAGGCGTGGTATCAAGGCTGTGTGCGTCTCTCAGGTTTGCTGCCAGCGCTCGAGTGCCCGCCGTCGGGCCGCTTAATTGCGATACTCGAATGCTCGAAAGAGGCCCCTGGCGAAAGCTTGTGTGACGGCGGACGGCAGACAGGTGGATCTGAAGAGCGCGAAAACTAACGAAGGCCCTGGCTCTTGGAGAGAATCTCAACATTTCCCAGAATTCTCAAGAGATTTCGAATTTAACTCTAAACCCCTCTTTTTGAGTGCTTCCCTGGCAAAGCCCCTCCCCCCAAAATAAACAAAATCAAGCCAAGACAGATGACAGGGAAGGGGGGGGGGGGTATTAAAATTTCAAAGGAATCTCAGGCAGCGTCCCGAGCTTGTTCTCTTTTGCCAGATATTCTCTTTTTCTGCTGACAGAATCCAGACGCAGTCTGGCCAGCTCCTGTTTCCATGTCGAGTAGAAAAGTAAAACTCATATGGATCCCAAACTCAGTTCTTCCACTCAACACCCTCACAGTGCAGAACAGTTTCATCAAGTCCCTAATTCCCATATCATAGGTTTGGGACACATACAGGGGTGAATTTAAGATTATTTTCTTCTAGCCAATTGGGCCATTTCAGTAAAAATAAACGTAGGACTTCACACAAGGTGAGTCACAGTAGTTTGCACAGCTGTCTCACACCTCTAGGACCAGGGCTTGAGTCTCTGCACTGGTTCCATGTGTGCAGAGTTTCTATCTTCTCCTTGTGGGATTCCCTCTAGTTACTTTCCCCCTATGCGCCCTCACACAAACTGGGCTGTTCCTTGCCTTGTGTCCATAGGCTCCAGACCCTGAATTGGACAAGTGCTTATAGAAAGTGTAGTGATGTTCACACATAAAATCGTTCCGTCTTTTTCACTAACCTTTTGTCTAAATGACATCCAACTGAATGAGAGCATACTGTATTAGAGCTTCAAGAGCTTGTAATGGGAGACTTACCTGCCTGCTAACCCGGCATAACCTATATGGTGACTCGCTAACAGAATGCTAAACCGGCATAAACTACAAGATCACTCGCTAACAGAATGCTAACCCGGCATAACCTACATGGTCACTCGCTAACAGAATGCTAACCCGGCATAACCTACATGGTCACTCGCTAACAGAA